GGTCACGTTCACGAAACCCATAAACTATCAGGGTCGTAGGGACATCATCCGTACTGCAGCCGCAGTAGCAATGGTGTTTCCTTGGTAAGATAGCCTGACAAAGCCCTACCCACACCAGGCTGTTTTTCCCTTTTCCTAGACCGGTTGTCTAATCTAAGATTTATATTATTTTAGTTTGGGATCAATTTATGTAATATGTACATTAAATGAAAGGGGGTTATGTATTTAACCGTTATCTTTTAATTTTTAAAGTTTTTATAATCATTTTGGCTTGAGAAACGAGTAATTCCTTCAGGAACGGAGATATTTAAAAAAAAATCCAAACTTGATATAAGATATAATTAAAATTTAAAATATAATTTACCTAAACTTGTCAGTTAGTCTGATAATATTTATGAGCGTTCCATAAATGTAATACTGTTATATGAAACGTAAATATGGTAGGTGGAAGTTGTATCGATAATCAAACGTGGTCGATCTGACGAGACCCGTAAACCATCAGGGTCAAAGGGACATCACCCTTACTGCAGCCGCAGTAGCAGTCGTGTTTCATGGGCAACATCACCTGACGAAGCCCAACACCCTCCAGGCTGTTTTTTCCTTTTCCTAGACCGGTTGCCACCCAAGGCTAAAGAACCCAGTCTATCATGCTATTTACCATAGTTGTTTTTTTTATGGGGGCGGGTAAGAAGAGATGAATTCACACATTTTTCAAGATTATATGCACGTAAGTGATGACATGCATGTAAGTGAATGTAATGAACTCGACTGGAATTCGAACTCCATTACTGCACCAATACAAGTTATGAAATAAAATCTACATCTTGATAGAAATCCTCAAAGAACGAAACGCGTTGGTATATAAAAGTTTTCCTTTCGCCTTCTTTTTTATTTATATTGTTTTACAGATCTTCTATTTTACTGATATCAGAATGTTTACGCACACAAACACACAAATTTAAAAAATAATTTACTTAGACTTGTCAGTTAGTCTGATATGAGCGTTTCTTGATTTTTTTTTATTTAAACTAACCACATTTTTTATTTTGTTTATAAATACTTGTTACAAATTAAAATCTTTACATTTGCCTTGATAAAGTCCATCAGAGGACGAAAAAGCTTTGGGTAAGATAAGTTTTCCTTTTGTTTTTATTCATATATATCTATGTATGTACATGTTTCACTAAAGATGACAGGTACTGTGATTAAGCTTTTTATCATATATATATATATATATATATATATATATATATATATATATATAATAAGGAAACAGAATAGGAAAACAGGAAACGTTTATAAATCTAACACGTTTCGCTTATATTAAAGCTTCATCGATGAATGGAATATGGCAGAGAAAAAAAAAATTTGGTATTTTTCATTATTGAATGCATTTTTCAAACTTTTCATTGGTTAAGCAAATTTCATGTGCATCTATCTTGTCAAGGACTATTCGTGTTTATAATTCACGTGTGTGTATGTGTATGTGTGTGTGTGAGTGTATGTGTGTCATAATTCTTGTTTGTCCCTGTGGCATTATAATGCTTATTCGTTTGTGCTTAAATATATTGTCGATATAAATATATGTATATGTGTGTGTATATATATATATATATATATATATATACACACACACACACATCATATACATATATATATTTATCCTATGTTCGAACAAGTGAAACTGTTCAAATCAAAAAAAAAAAAAAAAATCATCCTTGATAATGGCTAAAAGTATAGCCGAAAGCGCTCTGAATTACAGAACATTTCGACAGTTTCTATACATTTCATGTCCAGAAAAGAAAAGATTTGTCGGACCCAATAGAAATTAAACAAAAAGCTTAATCGCAATCCCTTGTCTGTCCTCTTTAATGAAACATGTATAAAAGAGGGATTGCTGCCTAAATACACAATTATCTATGTATATATGCATGTATATATAATCAGACAGCGGTAAAGCCTCAGGAAATGAGAAAATATAACATTACTTATTTGTAATAGTTATTGTGTATTATTTACACTATTAACATTGGTCGGATTGTTGCCCTCATCTTTGTTGCCATATTCACAACGTTTTGACCCTTGTTTCCTCCGGCCTTCTTTGGTGATTGGAATTTCGAACCGAACCCTTTATTTCGTTCACCGGGTAAGATTGTTCTAATTTTCCGAACAATGAAAATAGTGTAAATAATTACAATACCTCATCTCAGAAATATAGACAATTATTGTGTAATAGAATCATTGTCAGCTATACTAGCTTCGTTTTTATCTTGGTTCGTTTTTTCGCTAATATCCAAGCCATAATTAATGATTCCCTCTTGTATATTCTGTTGTTTGGACTCTTTGTCGAGTCCAGAGTTCGGATCAGCCTTCAACTGTTCTTTCTTTCCCGCCATTTTCATTGCTAACCATGTTAACAGACAAAAGATTGCCGAAAACATAAAGGCACACCCGGAAAGATAAAACGTTGCGTTGTAATTATTGGTTACATCTTGTAGATAACCTGTGAGGAAGAAATAAATATATATACTTATTTGTCATTATGAAGAAAAGAAAAAACAAGCAAAAAAAAACAAAATCAAACAACAAAAAAAAAAAAATGAAACTAAAAACAACAAATCTACAAGAAAAAAAAAGAAATGAAATCGATAGTAATCTTAAATCAAGGGAAGTAATTTTCGTAAAAGAAAACTTAAGAGTTATTTCCCTTTAATCATCTATGGATTTTACGAGTTTAATTGAACTGCTGCATTTGGAAAATGAAAGAGAAGGCGCATTGGAATGAGAGAGAAAGAAAGAAAGAAGGTACATTGGAATAGCGAAAGATGACTTTGTAACAGGAGCTAAGCAAAGTATCACTATGATTCCGACATCAACGGAAGAGATTTCTTGAACTGTTTATACAAAATTGTTCACTATTTTAATATTTTAATATTTGGAAATCATCTTGAATACAACATCGCAGAGGCGCACGCACGTGAACGCACACAAACATACACTCTTTGTGAAATTTTTTATATGTTCTAAAACGAAAAAAATTGTCCACTTAAATGAAAACTCCGTCTTTTCTCTCTTTGCTATTCTTTTTTTGTTTTTTTTCTGTTTTTTCTTCTCTCTCGGATCTCTATCCATCTTATATATATATATATATATATATATATATATATTCTCTCTCGACTCTCTTGTTGAATTCGACCTATGAGTACAAGCAGATCAGTTCCTAGGAATCGACAGCCCGACACCAGCACATGTAATATGATTATAGCGGTTTAGTGCAGAACTATCCAAACTTTTTGAAGGTCTGAATACAGAGTCTCCGCAGGTTTTGAATTCAGAGTTGTCCTTCTCCTAGACCAGTTACCACCCAAGGCTATAGAACCCTGCCTGACCCATAGCTGGAGGGAAGAAGAAGAGGATTCATCCCTTTTCTAACGCTATTAGCATGTATGTGAATGCAATGGATTCAACTGGAATTCGAACTTATATAATTAATATCAGTAAAAGGTTTGACACTTAGCTGATTGATGTTACCTTCAGCATTCCGACTCCAGAGTCTCGAAGACGGACCTGTCCGTCCACTCATCAGGGGATATCAGCAATGCCAATCTATACTTCTCGATTTTACTTTTTATATGCACTTATCACTGGTGCAAGTTTTATATATATATATATATATATATATATATATATGTGTGTGGGGGGTGTATTAACTTCCCTTCTTGTTTCCTAATTTGGACTCCCTACTTGTCATGTTAGGAGACACGGCAGAGTAATTGATTGTGGCTCGGATTGAGGAATCGTAGATACGAGTCCAAATTTCAGTTGAGTTTATTACATTGACTTACGTGCTAATATCTTTAGGAATGATATAAATCCATCTTTCCTCCACCCAAATGATGGTAAATAGCAGGAAAGACTGGATTCTGTAAATGTGGGTGGCAACCTGTCTAGGAGAAGGAGCAAACTATCACTTCAAACCGGCCTGGAGAGGGTTGGGTTCCGTCAGGCTAACTTGCCCAGTACACACCACTTCTGTTACGGCTGCGATGCATGTGGTGTCCCTACAATCCTAATAGGTTACGAGACTCGTAATCGGGAACGTGTTTCCGTTAATGGCCGTTCATCGAAGTTCTGTCTGTGCAGACACAGATTTTCAGTAGACGCAGCTAAGACAAGGTGTGTTTCAGGTTTCGTGAGCTAAGTCGTCTTTTGAGACATGAGGCGGCTGATTTGCCAGTAAAGTGAGACTTTTTTTTTTTTTTATTAAGATACCACTAGTTTTCCTTTTCAGAGTTGGGGAGAAGTCATGTACACATTTCTGTACTTTGTAACAACTTTCTCTTTCTAGAAAATAAACCTTCCGATTTTTTAAAAAGATATTCCTGCTTCTCTCGGTCAATTTTTAATTTTATTTATTTATTTATTTATTTATAAATAGTTGAGTAATTATCTGTTTTCCGCAACCAGATGCTGCCAAGCTCGTCCAATATGTATTTGATAATCTAGCATATTCACGTAAATCAGACGTTAAAACTGAAGGACTGAGTCAGATGTTTAGGTTTTAAAGATTCGGGATTCTGTATTTTTTTTTTTATCTGATCATCCCATAAAATGAAATTTAGAATTAAACAGAAGAAAATGTCAAAGAAAATTTGACTCACGTAAATCGAATGCTTACCTCCAATAGGACCTGCTATCAAAATAGTTACCCCTCGGAACATGCACATGAAACCCACCGAACTGTTGAGTCTGTTATAACTGAGAATTTCTACAAGCATAAGAGGGGTCAGCGCTGCATCACCCGCTGTAAAGAAATAAATACTTCCATTTAATAGCTTCAAAACATAGGATGGCAGAAAGAGCATACAAATATTAATAACGACAATTCTATGTAGAAGAAATTATCACAATATAAGAATATTACGTCTGCTACAGCTTGTAGTTCCTGCTGCAAAATTATTTTTTCTTTTCTATTTTTATCAGAACACTAAATATTTCACCAACAATATTCTTCGACTGGCAAATAGTAGCTCAATAGGATTTATCAAAGAGAAAACGACAATAGATAGATAAACACCATTTAATACTCTCGTAGTCGATCTGAAGATAAGAAATGACAAAAGGAAAACTGTTTTATACCAACGTTTTTTTTTCTTGAGGAAATTTATTAAGTTATTGAGAAAAATGTGAAGATATTATTTCGCAACTCCTATTTATACGCAGAGGTAACGTGGAAGAAAAAAAAATCATGATCACTGTGAAATTAAAATTCGGGGGTTTGTTTAGTTTACACTACGTTATCTTCCTAAAATATGCGTGTTCTTACAAAATATGCTAGACAAAGAACAAATTATCTGGTTCGTGTTAATTCTCAAGATTAGGGCATATTTATATGGGCCGTCCAAGAAGAGAATTATATTTACAGAAAGACCTAGGAAGATTCTGTAACCCACAACGCTGTTTTAATTGTAGGAAACCTTGTTAAAAAAAAACAAAAAAAAAACATGGTGCTTGTTATTTTTTTTATTTAAAAAAAAAAAAAAGCAAGCGCCATGTTTTTTTTTTTTTAACAAGGTCTCTTAAGATTAAAACAGCGTTGTGGGTTACAGATATTTCCAAACATATTTCAGTGAAAATTTTGTTGAATTATCAATAAATGTCTGTCTGCCAAGAGTTATCTGCTCTTAGTTTGGTCATCGCCTCTTTTCTCTTCTTACACAGTCCCTAATGTAAATAAAGCCTTCACCTCGTGCGTGTTAAGAAAAAGATGTCTATGTTGGTTTTTATTAAATTTGTCTTCCAGTCTGAAGTATCAAGTCTAATCAAAACAAGGCATGTTTCGATCTAACTGATTCTTGACTTTATAATTTTCTCCTTTTAAAATTTCACGTTCCAAAATTGTAATTTGTCATTATATTTTAGATATATAGATAAAAGAAGGTCCCAGTTTAAACTGACAGTGACACCATTAGTCGGTCGCTCAAATTTCGTCTTTTTATTTTCTGTTGTCATTTTTATACCCCAATATTTCACCCAATACTATGCACTGTGTGTTAGAAGGTTACTTTGTAGTGTTATATGAGCGTATAGGATACAAATCCTATATCATTCCAACAAATGACAAAAAAACACAAAGTAGATTTGCACACCCGCAAAATCGGATCAAAACGATTAAAAACAGATTTCGCAATAAGGTGTGAAATTAATTTTCTGACCAATGAAAGGAGGCGATTTGCTAAACCAAAAAGAAGATAACGAGCCAGTGTGAAAAAAAAGTCAACAATAAATACAGAGTTTCAAGTCAGTCGCCAGTCAGAAGGGCGCAGAGATCACAGAAGACTGACAGTAAATTCCATCACTGACTCAACCCGACACTAAGAGCCGAAAGTGGAGTAGGAAAGGACAACAACAACAACAAATTTACAACTGACTCCTAAGTACATTTTCCTCTTATCTTTTATTTCTCATCCACACTCTCTTTTTCAACTTAAATTGCTCGCCCCTTTTTCCTTTACACCTATGCAAAAACAAAAGAAACAGACATTACTCTGTTACTCTGTTAAAAGACAGTGAACACAGACATTTTTGTTAAAATCACATTTTGCTTAAACGAACTAAAGCATTAATCTTTTTTTTACCCTATTCACAAGATAATAAATATACAATGTTCTATTTTCTACAAACGTTCCTTATCGTGTTGTTTCTTCTTGAAATTTGCGTTGTATTTTGTGGGCTTGTAGGGTTCAACGTACCCGGATTAAAAGGAGAATTTATTCTCCTTTTAATTCGGGTACGCTGAACCCTACAAGCTTAAGGCAAAAGTGAACGCTATACCTTAAGTGCCTCTTGAGCCTTGTATTTGTTGAATTTTAGAAAAAAAAATAGAATTCTGCTAAACTTACCGTAAACAAAACCAAGCACAGCTGCATATATAGCCAAGACCGGATATGTCGTCATTTCCGGCACACACAGAGTGAAGATACCACCAACAATGCTGATACCACCCAGCAACAATACCGAGCTGATGACCGGAAATCTATATATGACCAGTCCACATAACACCCGCGCTATAGTGTTGGTGATACCCGTTATTGAAAGGAGAAATGCAGCGTCTTTAGTATCGATGCCGTATTGCTGAGCCACATCAGGCAGGTACATATATGGAAGCATGCAACCTACAAAGAGAAAACAATCAAATCATCGTCAGTCCCATAAACGAATGTGGTCGTAGGATCATTGCTCAGCTGAGCACTTGTGTGCTATTGTCGGCCCATGTAACTCGAAGGGAAAATAACGACAAAATCAACACGTTGACGTTAGACACGACTTGAAGCAGAAAGCGAGGAAGGAAACCTCATTCAGTATTTGAAAGAGCGATAACAGTTACTGGTTTTTAAGAGAGACATTCTGGCAAATATATACTAAAAAAGGACGGTTTCTCCATTGACACCTCTATTATTTTAACTATCTTTATCTCTTCGGCAATGCTTATTGTTTTAATAAGCGATGATTGGAATTGTAATAAAACCTAAACATATGGTGAAAACGAATGTATACACTTAGTAAGTAACGATCAGGAAGGTCGGAAGGTGCGGCAGTGGATGAAATTCATCGAAGGCTTTTCACACAATATGGCGAATGTGCACGACAGCGTAGAAGTGTTTATGAGTGGATCAAGAAGTTTAAAATTGGCCGGACAAGTATAACACACGAAGAAAGGAGCAGGACGCCCGTCAACCTTCACCACTGACGAGAAGATTCAGCAAGTTCGAGAGATAGTAATGGCGAACAGGCGAATCATCATCGATGAGGTAGTATGCTCTCTGCAGATTTGGATCACTGCTCTTTGTCCCTCCTTGCTGCACACTGCTAGCGGAGCATCCATGTGTACACTGTAGGGCAGGATTAAAAGTTTAAACCGAAGGTTTTATTCTTGCTACTCAGGATCAATACTTGCTAACTAGAAATTATCAAGCAAACATACTAAGAAATTGTGCTGACCCTAAATGCATATTCTGCGATTAATATCCAGAAACGGTTGACCATCTTGTATTAGGTTGCACGGCATTAGCATTCAACGAATATAAAACTCCACGTGACAAAATGGGCCAATATCTCCGCTGGAAAACCAGCAACTTTTATAGGAAGGAAACTGCAAGAAATTGGTATGGGCACCACTCAAATCCAGTTGCAGACATAGGACCTGTAACAATTTTATGGGACTTTAAAATACGCACGGACAGAAAAATCAAAGCTAATCGCCCAGACATAGCGATGAAAGACCACAAGAACAGAATATGCTTTCTTATTGACATGGTAGTTTCCTCAGACTTTAATATATCTCAGATCTTTTAAAAAAAACTATCAAAATACAAGGATCTTGAAGTGGAAATCTAAAAAAAAAAAAAATGTGGCGCATGAAGACAATTACAATTGTGTTTAGAGCTCTGGATGTTATTTACACTATTTATATTGTTCATATATTTGTTGCCATATTCACGACGTCTCGGCTGTTGTACACTCTGGCCTTCTTCAGGTTAATGGAATTTCGAACTGAACCCTTTATTTTGTTTTGGGTAGATTGAGCGTACAACAAAGATAAGGACAACAGTCTGAACAATGTAAATAGAGTAAATAATTACAATACCTCATCTCAGAAATATAGACATTTTTGTATTTGAGCCGAAAAGGTTCCGATAGTCTCATTGAAGGGATTCTTTGTAGTCCATCTCTTAAAGAAATACCAAAGCACTACAGACTAAGAATGGCTTTATCTATAGAAAATATTTACGTTTTGAGGTTGTTTTGATACACAAATGTTCAGTGGAAAATGCCATGATGCCATTTCTTATCTGAGGTCTCTGACAGACTCGGGAAGAAATAAAATTGCACCAGTAATCAAAGGAAATAAAAATGAAAATAATAATGCTTAAGCGAAGAGAGCGATTTAAGGAAAGAAAAAACACGGTGTTTGACAATGTTAAACAATATTTCGACTGTATGTCTGCCTTCTTCAAATTATTTCTTTTAATTTTCAGTTATAAAAATATATAAATCTACAAAATATGATAAAGTTTTACAAAGCCTAGATAATGTATTTTTTATACGTGAATTAAAAAGAATATAACTTGAAGAAGACTGACATACTGTCTCAATAGTGTTTAACATTGTCAAATACTGTGTTTTTTTTCTTTTTCTTTTCTTAAATCGTGCTCTTCTTGGGAAAAAACTGGAAGAATTACGTCAGTCATTTAGGTTTTTAATAATAATAATAATAATAATAATAATATACAGATTTATTTAAATTTTTTTTAAAATTTTTCTTCCGTTCAAAAAATTTTTGTGGCTTCCGGGTAGAATTTGGATATAATTTTCTCATATACTCTGATCAATTTCGGTTTATTTTTTTATTTTATTTTGATACGGTTTTACTTATGTGTATACATTTTTTCCTTTGCTAGTTCTCGAGCGTCCTGTCATACCGCGTCGTGTTATTTTGCGTCTGTGATTGTCACACACACACACACATTTGTAGGGAAGAGTGCATAGGAATCAACACTTAATGGTCCAAAGTGACTCTTCTAAGGAAGAAGTCTGGTACAGCCTGGAGTCATAGAGTTAACCGACTATTTCTCCAGCATCTTTATCACGCAAAATCCTAGAAACGTTAAGGAGATGGACAGATTTCGAGACAGCATTGTTCAATATCTCTTTTGAAAGTCTGGAGGGAAAGTGAGACCAAAGAGACATTCAAAACAAGACACCTCTATAGAGAGTGTAAGCAGTTCTCGTCAATGATGACGGAAAGAACCGATCAATATTCGGCGGCGTTCGGTTGCCACCCGAGATGAAACGAGGGTTTTGTTTTGATTTGATAGACGATAACAAAAATGACAATCGCTAAGCTGACTTGTACGATTTAACCTTGACTTTGGGACATAGATGAATCCAGCCCGTTTAAATCTGGAGTCCTAAAAATGTCTTCTCCAGGTCAGGAGTATCTCCAGATTAGATGTAAGACCTTTCCTTTTTTTTTCCTTGCACTCTGATTTGACGTGTAGATTTTTCAACGTGAGACATGTGTATATATGTATATGGTTTTGTGTATGTCTTAGTATTAAAAACGTCTCTCTGAGAACGAAGCATGTTTGGCATTCTTTTACCTTTCCGCCATTCCGTCCTGTCCGTGGGCTACAGTGGTATTATATCATTGATACAACAATACCAATTACGGGAGAAACGTAAATGAGATAATGAATCTTTTTTCCTTGGCTCTCCTCTCGTTGCATCTGTTTGCGGAATAACTTACCGGTTGTTCCGAGGATAAACACGCAGCAAATCAAGTCGAAGGCGAGGATCTTGAACAACTTGATGTCAAGTCTGTCAATGAAGATTTTCCACTTGGATTTCTCTGCGTTCTCCTCTATTTCGCTGACATCTTTAGGCAGAGGCCGCAGCGTGAGACCGGAGATGATACCCAGCACCATTAAAGCAGCCTCGATCTGAGAGATGGAACGCCAGCTCATGACTTTCAGTAGAGCTCCCGTGGCGGCTGCAATGACGAAAATTCCGATTCCTGACCCAGAGGAGGCCACACCCACGGCGAGAGCACGTCGTCGATCAAAGTATAGGCCGACAACAACCACACTGCTGACGTACATGAGGGCAAAACCAGTTCCTGTTAAGTAAAAATAAATTAACATAATAATGAATGACTGTTCTTTTCTTTTGTTTCATGTCCTTTCAGGGTGTGGACAATTATGGCTCTCTAAGACTTCTTGTCGAGCTAAACAACTATTTTGCATTTACTACGTATTTTTTTACCCTTTTTTGACTTCCATAAATTGGAATTCGTTAAACAGTGTTTATCCTGATCATCTAGCTTTCAATATAGCCTATGATAATGTAATTGTTGTGGTTTCAATAAATGAGCAGAGAAGAAAGTGTTGCTTACCCGAGTGATTTCAGAAAAACAGAATGAATGAGAAGAGTTTTTTATGGACAGAGACAAAAGCACTGTGTGAAAAAAATGTTTAAATAACCTCTCGAGATGGTCGGAGTTTAATCTTCTTGTCGGGGTACCAAGCAGTAATAGAATGCTATAAATGAATGAAGCTGGAAGACAGAAAGATAATAAATGAGAAGAGTTTTTTATGGACAGAGAAAAAAGCACTGTGTAAAAAAATGTTTAAATAACCTCTCGAGATGGTCGGAGTTTAATCTTCTTGTCGAAGCACCAAGCAGTAATAGAATGCTATAAATGAATGAAGCTGGAAGACAGAAAGTGATAGAAATCCAGAAATTGTATTTGGTTTGGTCAAAGCGGTCAGATTTCGAACAGTTCTACGGTTGGTACATTATGGAAGAAAGAAATTAAGGCTTAAAGCCACCAGGTATTAATTTCTCTCCAGATCGCTTCTAAATTCCTGCTCTTCATTCTGGTTCATTTTGTTTAAACTACAATTCTCAAAGTCTTCCCTTCAGTGGCGGTGCGTGGCTAAAATTCATCATCACCCTCATCAACCTTTGATTGTGGTTTGTCGGAACTCCATTGACAATCCCTTTCCACACTGTTCGGTCCTGTATTGCTGGTCCCAGATCCACAATGTCCAACCCTGAGTCCTGAGCAATGGAGTCCCGGGAAGTCAATTTTCATGAGAAGACACCTCCAGAAAGATGTCATTGGAGTAAGGATGAAACAATTTCCCTGCCCACTTGGTGGCAGTGGCCGGCAAACTGTAATGGTTTTTGTTTGAGCTTAAGAGGGATTGGTTTCAGTTCTCTGCAAATTGTGTTAAGAGTTGCATGGGATCTCCAAGTGACGTTCTGAAATTTTTCAAGTATATTTGTATATGTTCCATCCAATTGTCTTTCAAGACGAAAAGATAATGTTCAAGTTTCTGATCCATACAGTAGGCTAAAATTAGTGCGGGTTGCTGCTTCAGAAAATGTTAAGCTATTGTTTTAATATTGTCTAAAACGAAACAAACACATAAAAAGAAAATTTATACATAAACTTGATAAAATCCTAAATGAAATATTTTTTTTACTTATTTATATATTGTTACAGTTTAAGCTTCACCCATCCATTTAAAAATGAAACCCGTTCTTCTTGTTTTACTTTGAATGAAAAGGTTACGAATTTTCTCCGTGTTTCCTGAATGACTCTTGAGAAAATATTTCTCCATTGAAGGCACTGCAAGTGCATTTAGTCTTTTAGGATTCATAGTGCTCCTTAGAAATTTCTTATTCTTTTCAGTGTTGAAAAGCAGCATTCTGGCTCCAATATAGTCATGGGAATTGTCAAGAGGATTTTTATCAGTTTCGTAATTCCACTAAAAACACCATCTAGATTATTTTCCAAGATAAATTTCAGCATCTCAATTAATTTGCAATATTCATGCATATCAGATCTACAATAGAATACTTTTAGTTCAAATTCAAGCTTTTCTTTGTCAAACACGGGATATGATTCAGTGGTCAGTACTATTTCTTCTGTAAGCAGTTCATTCTTAAAACTAATGAAGCTTTTCTTGTTGAACAATTTAGCAGCTACTAAGTGTTTAGTGGAAGAATATCTGTCCATTATATCAACACATATGCAGTCACAGACTTTCTTTGCTTCTGCCATGAGTGTCCTTGAAGGATTCTCACAGTATCTCGACTTTCTAATTTCTAAAATAGCAGTTTTCAAATCTGTTATATATTCAATTTAAACAAACTAATTTCTGCGAGATTGCCTTTGGTTGTAAATTACTTCATCGGGAGGGATAATCTGATGAAAAAGCTGCAGCCAAAACATGAAATTATCGTCATTCAGCTATTGCAAAATTCCTGTTGTTTTTGGATGAAAGTTTTCATGCTAGACGCAATCGTCAGGCGGCCTGACGATTTGCGTCTAGCATGAAACAGCCTATCGCCCCTAAGTGTTGCCTTCAATGTGTGACGGTTACACACCTGGCCCAGTGTCGGATCCTTTGGTTACGGCGCCAACGGTGACGTCGCCCTCCTGGTCGCTCCTCCTGGGTCCAAGCGTGCCGCTCCAACCCTTTGGTCAGATGATCACCAGCCTCGCCTTTCCCCGACTCGCTTCCAATACCTGGTCACTAAAGCAACTATACCGATCTCCGGTCTGTCTACCCACGCTGTGTTTAGATCTTAGACAGACGGGACCAGCAGGATCAGGGCCGATACAAGTTGAGTCCGACGGGGGTGGCAAAACACAAATAAAAATAAAACTCACGACACCAAACAAAATTGCTGATAAAAAGGGTAACAACCTTTTTATATCTTAAAGTCCGTTACATAAAAACAAAAGTGTTCTCATTTCCCGACCCGCTCTGTGGACTATGGCACCAAGCTTCTATCACACAATAGAAAATGTCGAATTACCTACTTTCTAGAATCATGTATGTATGTCGGAGTGTGGTTCAGTTCGACACTGGGGCTAATTTCTATCGATCATTCGCAGTTGATTCTTCTCTCCGACTTGAGTTGTATTTCTTCTTCTTCGTCTGCTTGGGCTGGTAGTTTTCCTGTTTCAACTTGGTGGAAGATTTCTTGTTTCAACTTAGCCGCAACTCTCTGTCGTCTGAGGTGGTCTCTTCTCACTGCCGTCCGGAGCTGAACTTTAACTTCTCATCGACTTTCGGCTTGTCTGCAGCTCCAATTCTTCTCAGGCTTTCAGGCAATCTTCTTCTTCATCTACTTGGGCTGGAAGTTCTTCTTGTCTGAGGGTTCTTTTCTCGCTGCCGTCCGGGGATGAACTGATTTTTGTCGATTGGGGCCCTGCTTTTATTGACGCCGCAACAAACTGGGGTGGGTCTGTCGGCGTCAGGGTTTTCTCGATAATTCCAAAACTGCATTAATTCTGTCTTCTCCATTATCGCTATTGTTTTCGCCCCTACTTCCTCGCAGTACCTTTGGTGGGGCGGCGCACATCCATCTCTCTTAGTCTCTCGTATGTCAGGTGACCGCTTTTCAACCAATCGTTCCTGATCGAGCATTTCTTTCCCTTTCTTCCGCAGGTCACGTGATCGTATTCGACCAATTGTTATTGGTCGAACATTTCTTTCCTTTTCTTCCGCAGGTCACGTGATCGTATTCGACCAATTGTTATTGATCGAACATCCTCTCCCCTCTGTTTGCGGGCGTGGTTACATCGTTCTTGTTTAAAAAAAAACAAAATCCAATTTTCCCCTTTTGCACGTACGCAAAATGACAATCTTTGGCTTTCTCTCACCTGGACTTTGTCAAACAGCCCGCTGCTAATTAGTCTTGACTTTAGAAAGGATCTTTCCGCCTTCTTGGCGCCCTCTGTGAGCCAAAAGCAATTGTCCCTCTTTTACCTCTTTGTTTTTCCTGATAGTCGAAAATCTTAATTATCTACATTGAAATGTCTCTACTTTATTAACGTGGGTGTCCAATTCTTAACAGGTCAAGATCTGTATATCGTTCCACTGGTCACTCCCTCAACCCAAAGAAAATTTCGTTTCTATTGTTCTACAAAGAAATTTCCCTTTTTCCAATGAGTCTTTCCACGCAAAAAGTAGGCCAAGTGCTCTGACCGACATTCTTATCAAAATGACTTTCGAAAATCGGCCAAGACGCTGACCTAAATCTCTTTCTGACTCCTATCTCCACCCTCAATTGGGTCATGCGTCATACATTTCTCTTTCTTTCTTTTCTTCCCTTCCTTCCTTTTTCCTTTCTTTTCCTTCTTCTTTCCTTAGGATCGTCTAGTACACTCTTAGTGAATTATTTTCAACTCAGTTATTTTCCGTTTTTAAAAAAAAATTAACAACCTGTTTAATAAACTGAATAAGAAAAAATTAAATCATATTTCTAGGAATATTTCTAATAATGCAAGGTGCCACAAATGTTCACTTATATATATATATATATATATATTTAATGGAAAAGCATAAAGCTAACGATCGCATCACTTTGAAGCACCAGTTGCTGTAAGATCACTGAATTTAAGCAACACCGGGACTGATCAGTAGCTTGACCGAATTGGAGACCGCTTAGGAATACCAGGTACTGTAAGCTTAGATGTGAGAGTCGAAGATGGATAATGGCTCGGAATTGTTAATCAGAGATCCGAGTTCCAATTGCAGTTGGGTTTCTTATATTCACTAACGTGCAAATACCATCAGTAAAGGTATTAAACCCCCTCTTCACACCTCAGCTATGAGTTAATAAGCAAGATTTGTATAACTAAATCATTACTATTTCCTCACCTAAAAAATATATATTCTTACAATCTAAAGAGACTTTCCTGGCTTTAAATAACCTTCGAAAGGGTTGATAAGTCGTAGAAACTGATTCAATCAATAAAAAAATCAATGTATAGTTTAGTTCCTTTGAATGTGTTATTTATAACAAACTTAAAGATTTCAAACGTCCCCCACCAATCAGAGGGCGTAATGCAGATGACGTCATTAATCGCCGCAGAGATACTCCAATTTTCATTGGATACTCGGCAAAAATGATTTCAAAATAAGGACGCTTCTTTATACACCGGTCCGTCTTCTATTCTAAAAAATACGATAATAATCTTTCTCGTGATTTATTGCGTAAAAAATACACAATTGTGGCACAATGCTGAAAAGGGGGTGGTTTAGGGGTCACTACTATCCTGTATCTAGCTAATCCGCGA